TTTGCACAAGATATGTAACAGATATTTAAATCAGATTCATATTTTAAAGAATGAGTCCTGTAAGCAGAAATTTTTAGATCCAATATCATGCATACTATCAGCGTAGAATACAGAAAATTTGCCAGTTTTCTCTATATAAACCAAATATGAACATGAAGTTACAGGCAGTTTTATTTTACATTACATACATTCAACACTCAGGTAACCTAACCTTAGAAGTTCAAATGTCATTTTTCTTCTGCAACTGTGCTAAAGGCAAGATTGAAAGGCAAGTAAAAAAATGATACTTGAAGATTTGCATGGCTTGAGGAGTGCTATTATTATTACTATTATTAGTTCAAAAATACTTCCATATGTGTTCGAGAAAATAAGACAGAACAAATATATTATAGTACAGGACAAATGCTGAGTGAGTGAAGAAGGTACATCCCAACATGTGCCTAGTTGATACATTTCATACCATTGTGACTAAACCACACTGCTCAGAACTGGGGTAGGATGACTGTGACCTCCTGGAGCATAAACCCAGCAGAGTTTGTGCTAGTCCAGGTGTTTTCACAAGGCAGCGAGCTCTGCTTAGCAGGGTAAATGTGAACCCCTGCTAGATAGAAATACAAAGCCTCTTCCCACTTGCAGGACTAGGAGGACCAGGGAAAAGACAAGGTTCTGAATTAAACACTTACGTGAGAAACCCAATTCCATCAGATCACTTTTCTTGTACTTTCAAGTAATTTCTGTGGTCCCTGCTTTTCAGAACAATTAACTCCAAATCCTAATGATGAGTTAACATTATTATAAAACAAATCAAATCCATTGGTACCAAACTTAAAGATATTTACATTTAGATTACAAACAAACTGGAAGCACAGCAAGCGATGGAAATTCCTTAAGTTTATGTAGAAAGGAAGTGAAAATTTCAAAGCTGATTTCTTTATAAACTACTGAAAAAAACACTTGTGAATTTGGCCTTAGTCTAACAAGCATGATAAAAACATGACTAAATTTGAGTCAGTTTCAAGGCAACTACTCATACTGCAATGGCCTAATTCTACACGTAAGAGAGTGTGGCAGACTTCTAAAAAAAATTTTGTAGAGATCCGTAAAACAGATAGCAGTCCTTTAACCAATTTTGTACCTTGAAGCAGCAACATTGTTTTTAGAAAAGCACTTCTAAACATTTAAGAGCAGAATGTATTCTCTCTGCTTGTGAATATACAAATTCTAGCAAAAGGTTGCTTTAATAAAAGATATGGATTTTTTAATATATAATGATAGTACATGTATGAACAATTAGAATGATTATAAATTTTCATTAATATGGCCAAAAATGAATTTAAAAAAAATGAATATCCCAAAAACCTGGAACTTGTTTGCTCAATCACATAATTTATAGATTGTCTTTGCAAAGATAAGTGTTGATTCTTGATGACAGGTTCATGTTTATTTCTGTCAAAGACTGGAGCAGAATAATTAAAGTTTTTCTTAGTACATTTTTTACTGCTGGGTAAATTGTAGCAGCAACAGGGTGAGAAAATAAGATGATGACTGGAACACCAGGGATGTGTTAAAAAAAGTTAAGAAAGCATCAAGTGTATTAATGAAAAAATTGCTCAAAGGAGAACAAACTGTGATCAAGTATGTGTTCCTTCTAACATAGTTTTGTATCAATTTACTTAAAATGTTTTTTTTTTAATTGGTAAGAGCTTCAGCATAATAAGAGAAAATGAAAAAAAATTGTCCAGCATAGCCTATCTTCCTCTTGTGCAAGTTACACCTATGTTCATTTTGCCTTTCCCTCTCACTGGCAAGAGTAGATTTTCAATGTTAAGAAGCGAGAATTTTTTTTTCAAAATTTTTAATGCATACTGACTGAAAACTAAACATCACTCTCTACTCTTTCTCAAATTTTAGGTAGCCTGTGACATGCCACAGAACTGCATGGGTTGAAAATGAAATTATTAGTACTTGGAATGAATTAATCCTCCATTACAATCTTCTTTCTTCCACATTTTTGCATGTTCCTCCCTGGAATCAAACCCAAATGTGGCAAGGTCAGCATGCCTTCTTCAAAACAGAAAGTAAATCTACACTTTAAAATACCCCTCATGCTCTATTTTCTTCCCCAACCCAGTAGAATTACATCCTAAGACAATCATTTACTATTAAATGCTCCCTAATATTCAGAAGTAGATGAAAGGCCTTCCTCAGGGTTGGTAATTTCTGGATGCTCTTTACAATTCTTACAAGTTGTTAGCTGGTGCAAAGGCAGAGAAAAAGAAGAAAAGATGCTTGAAATGCATTAAATGTTTGCAATAAATTGTTACTCCAAAAGCCCAAGAAAAAAGTTACACATGAAAGCTGTGCACTCTCGGTTCATGATTCGCCCCAATTCCTCCAAAAGCATTCCCTCCCTCCCAGCTTATATCACCCTCCTTCCCACTGTTTTCTTGGCCGTTTTGCTGCAGCCATCTGAGGAACCTTTTTTCCCTGGAAGCTGCAGCATGACCACAGCTTCCTGTGAAGCTCCTTGATCACTTTAGCTTGGTTCGTCTTGTGCTGAAGAACACAAGGGCTGGTACTGCCGAGCCCCCAGAATTCCATTGCCAACCCCATCCCAGCTGCAGAGGTGTTCACAAGTATTGCAAACAGCTACTAGTAATAAGCTGATCACTCTGCAATGGTTGTCCTCTAATTCCCCTCCTACCTCTAAGCCCATTTGCCTGAAAAACACCAACATAACAAAACAAAACAAAAAACAAAACACACACACACCTGGACCATTGATCAGAAAAAAAAAATATCCATGCCAGGCTTAAACTAGAGGACACCTCTTGTCCTGATTAAAAACTGAAGTGCTTTACAGCCAGGAGAGATAACACATGTGCAAAGCTGAAAATAGTTGCTACACCATGTTTTTGTTTTGTTACCATGACAGCAATTACCAATATTTTGAAGAGAATGACTGCTCACTGACACAACACGAGGACAATGGGAAGGTGTGTTTTCTTCACCAGTCCAGGAAGTCTCATTGTGTGCCCAAATACAATTATTTCCTTTGATGTCTAGGCAAACTTATTATTCATCAGAAAAAGAACCACAGCTAAGCTGGAGAAAAAAAAAAAAATCTAATTCAGAAAGGACCAGTGTAGAGATATAGAAGTTTTAGGATTTTGCCTCTTCAAATATTTGCTAAAAGAGGCAGAAATTTAAGGAAAAAAAGTCTCAATATTCCTTGTATTTAAATCCTCTATCAGCTAGAACATAGAAACACTTTGGAAAATAGGCAAGAAATGCCTGTTTTGGCTGCCTTTTATGCCTGTCAGTGTTGGAATCGAAACCTCTTACTACATTCTACAGCTGGTATAGACCAATTATATTGACGATAGCATCAGAAAGGAACTTAACAGCAGTTGGTAGGATTCTTCATGTCTTCCTAGCTTAGACCTATCTCCTCCTCCAGAAAAAGAGGTATACGGGAAGACCTCTGAATAACATAATCTGTCATCTCTTCCAAGAATTCCTGAGCAAGAAATGCAGAATGCTGCTGGATTTACAGGTCTTCCTTTCCTCATCTCCAGCACTGTAAATGGTTATGGGACACAACACAGCGAACACACATGTCCTCAGCTGATAATACAGAGAATGCAAATGACAGAAAAAACACAACTGCTGTTACTCATCTATAACGGCATGATAATTGTCAGCAACCTGTTTTTTTCTAGGGTATGTTCAAAAGAAGCAAAAGCAGACACACAATTAAGACTGTTTTCTTAAACACATTGCAAAAGACCTTAAGCATTAGATCTACAGCTGTGCTGACTGCTCAACCTCTGTTTCAACAAGAACTACAGTGCTGTCATAAGAGTGCTCCAATGACACCGTACCATTTCCTAGCAACAATCTATGTTTTGTACATAAAAAAGCAAATGAAATACTGCCTATCAGTGTTTTCTTTCTCATTATGCTGTTAAACCTTTCTCCCTCTCCCACGTAAAATGAAAAGCGTCTTATTTGGACATTATGCAGAACTTCAGACTATGCTCTGTAATGTCATGAACTGCCAAAGAAGCAAATCTAACATAAAACAAGGTATTTCATGTTACCCAAATTGACCCTTCTGAAAATAAAGTTAGTGTAAGTTCATAATTCCATGAGAGATTCACCAAGTTTTAATCCTGCAATGATGGACTGAATGCCCCATAAGCAAATGGAGAGCTGCGCATTCTGCTTCTCACAGGGCTGTTTCTAAGGGGTCTTTCATCGCAGAAGCAGCATCCAGTCTTACTTTCTGAGATTTATAGTAATTTCTGATTATTCTGGGAAAAAAAATTCAACTACAAAGCATTGTCCCCAGGCTTCCAAATATTTGTGACTTTTCACTCTCCCACCCCCTGCCTCTTTACTTGCAGCTACCACTTAAAGTGTCATTAAACACACAATTCACATTTACAGTTACATATACGCATACCTCCTGCAACACAAACCCAACTCATCTACATGAACTGAGCTTTGCAACAAGGTGAAAGTTTAAATTTACTAGGATAAATGCCATCCCTTGGAGATACCCTAGCCTTCATTGTGAGGTAGATGGGCTTCTTCTCCCCTCCCCATTATTATAAATGCTGATGAGCACACAGATCAGCATTTATAATAACACATATTACAGGAAGGATGGTAGAAGGGCAGAAGAAACCAAACCAGAAAAAGCAGCGCATTTCCATCCATGAGGAAGTAATCGTGTGCAGACTCCAAATCCTACTGTGGCCAGGTAGATAAACAACAGCAAAGCAACAAACACAAAAATGAGTGGCATGGTAAGAACCAGCCCTTCAATCTGGAATGTAGGGGTGGAGAAATCAGTTTATTTCTGCTGGTCAGCTGTTCAGGTCTCATCTGCATAAATATCTCATAGTAGCAATGCATCTGCCAGAAAGCAAAAGAATTACATGGTTTTAAAAATGTCTTTGTGCTTTTCCTTTTTTAATAAAAGAGCAAGGTAGTAACATTAGAAAGATATTTTTATTTTCATTTATCACCTGATATTGTAGGTGAAAATTCTGTCAGGCAAATTCTGTCCCTGTACTTCTGTATCTCAGAGAGTGGAATAAAGTTGCTCCATGCCGAATCCTTGTTTACAAAGATGTTTGCTATATGTGCAATACACTCTCATCATTCCCTTTGCTGCCACTGAAGATGTCTGTGCTGAAACCAGAGTTTGACAATAGACATACAAAAAAAAAGAATAATCACAATTATTTAGACCATTTTACATTTTCATTGATATATTTCGACGTTGTGGAAGAACAGATCTAAGATTTCTTTTAACATTACTTACATTCTTAGCACAATACACTTTTTCATATAACAGTTATTAGAGGGAAAAATTGAAAAAATGCATTTAATTTTCTCAATTTTTTATAGAAACCCTGGATTGATTTTACAAAACAGCCTAGGAATTTCCCCTCTATTCAATGGCAGCATATTCCAACCGATGGGAACTCACATAAAGTTTACTGACATATGGTGCCACCTAGCTAGAACATGTTACATGTTATGTATTAGAATTGAACAGGGTGCCACGGACACAGTCGTCTCCCAAATGAACCAAACAGGAAATATCTATCAAACACCTAGAAAGGAATGGTGTTTATCTTGGATTAAATAAATAATGATATGTGTTATATAAACTTAAAGAACTAAATCAAGTTTTTCAAATTCCTAGTATTTAAATAGGACCATAAGATTAGAGGCCTTTACTGGTTAGTTCAAAGCTTTTCTGTGTATATGAACTTACCACCTTCAGAGACAAGAGCAAATAAGACATGGCTTAGGGATATTTTTACCCTTCAATTAAGTAAGGAAAGGACAGGCAGATTTCTTCTTAAGGCTTTTTTTCAAACAAACCAGAATAATTTGGAATATGCAACAGTGTACCACTGGTACAAGCACAGGCACATACACCAATAACGAAGAGAAGCAAGAGATTCTGTTTTAGCACGAGAATCAGTAAAAATGCACTGTGACAAACAAGTGACTGAAAGACATTACTTCAACCACTTACTTTAAAATTTTAGCTTTTTTTTTTACCAGAGACTGCAAACTGAAGAGTCCAATCTTTGTATAAAATTTAGAAGAATGAGATTTCTCAAAGAAACATGAAAACTTTTCTTGTGGCATTTAGTGAGCCTAATCATGTGTCTCAGTACATTCAGCAAACAGCTTACAAGTCAATGTCTGCCACTTTTGAGAAGGCACCACCGCAAAAATATTTATATTTTCTTCTAGGAAGAAGTTTTGTCCTAAAAGCATTTTTTCCCCTGGGGAATGCAGGAAGTAGGCCTAGTGAAGGGATTGTCCAGCACCCATGAAACAGCAGTTGGAGATTGCTGTGTATAACTAACATTGCTTAGGGGCCAGATAGGCTGAATAAATAAGCAAACCTTCCTCAGGCACAAAGTGCTCTCTGGTACAGTAATGAAGCAAACAACATCCAGCCTTTTATACAATCAGCTCATGGAGCTTATAAAGGCTGATCTACAGAATTTCACAGAGTTTGAATGCATTCTGCCTGAAATCCAAGGTGAAGGTATCAAATTACTGCACATTATTTCAGTTTTCAGTAGTAAACACTGCAGTTCAAACAAAAACCAGCACATTCCTCTAGAGGGATTTCAAACATTCTCCTGCGGAATTTTATTCAAGAGCTAAGGCAGGCAATCCAACAGCAAGTGTTTCAATAAAGATTTCCTCACCAACTGTAACTAAAATTTAGAGTCTATTACAGGAATCAATTTATATTTACTGTATGAGAAATCAGACTTACTAGAGATCAAAAGCATATTAGATTTAAAGACACTTTTCAATTGAAATAATTTTGGGAAGCTGCAAACCGACACAAGGCTGTGTGTCCGTGCAAATCCTGGCCAACAACACTGCCTCAGGGCAGCAGATCATCCATGTCACTTCCAAAAACCCACAGTCATGATGCACCAGAATGCAGGAGTAGCATAGGAGCCCAAGCACAGTGCCACACACATTCCTAACAACTCCCAGACAGAAAAACCTTGCCGTGTTCTTTCTTCAGCACTCCCACTTGGAACGAAACTATCTTCCTATTTAGACCTTATCAAGACTTTACTACCAGTTATCTGACTTCCCTTATGGTTCCTAAAAACTGAGGTTACTAAAACCAAAAGGTTTTTTTTTGTTTATAGCTACATGTGGCATGATGAAATTGATCTTTCAAAGCAGCACATGAATTCAACCCAAAACTCTTTAGTATTTCAGACTTAGTATAAGGAAGCAAACTTCTCCCTGGCAAGAACAACAGATTTGCTATACATCAAAACTGCTTTTCTATTTTTATTAATATTTACAAAATAAGGTAAATTAATAACATTTGTCTGCTTGCAAATAGCAATAGTACAAAACCCCTCAGTTTCAGTACTGATGTATTATAAAAGTTTTATTTGGGAATTATTGAAAAGCACACCTTATCTAGTATTTTTTTCACCCTATGAGATATACACATGATATTAAAAAATACAAGTATTACCTTTTCTTTGTGTTCCAAGATATAAGAGATCACAAAAACATTAATCTTTTTCAAATCCAGGGTCGAAGTTTAGTAAATTACCATTCTACTAGAATTACCAAGTACTGTTACTCTCAAATTAAATGCTCTCTGCAGTGATTAAAAAAAGATTTTAAAATATGGGGAAACGTTTAAAACAATTTCCACAGATTATTAGCTTTGGAGATGGAAAATACAGTAATGATCCCAGTTCATGCAGTTCTTTGATCTTCCTTGGAGATGTTCAGGTCTTAACCTGAAGAGCAGATAACAGAACAATTATCTACAGAACTAGTTGATAATTGTACTGCATATATTTAATGACTGTTGCCATGATTCTGGGAAAATTATCGCTTTTCAGTGTCTACAAAATATCAATTTTTCTAACACATTATTCGCTGCTTTTCAGTCAAGATTCACACACCAGTAAATAACACTCTCCCTTAACAAACAAAATGAAAGCAGTTCTTGGTACATTGCTAACAACATGATGCACTAATTAGTTTGGGGTTAGGGTTTGCTTGTTTAATCCTGTATACATGATAATATTATACAGCAATCCTCATAGAAAAGAGGACAAAAATGCAGTTTCTGTCATGGACAAAAACTTTATAAAAACATAATACAATTAAAATACAAAATAAATATAGTACATGTCAGATTAGTTACTAGTAGCATTTGAGGTTTCTGGAGACTGAAGAAATTCATAGGGATCATGAACCATGTCTTGCTGTTCTCCAACACTCAGATGAGAGGGGCTTCCTGTTGAATGTGGGGAAAAAAATAAAAACTTTAAAAGTACAGAAAAAAATTAAGAGATATTTATACATATAAACAGGATGGTTATTTCACATGTTCCTTTTAGACTGTTAAAGTAAGACAGACATCTAAATGATATTTAAACAGGAGATTCTGAAAAAGAAATCACAAGATTCTTAGTAATTTAGACAATTTTTGGAATAGTAATCATTATGCTATTACTGACTTGATTATTCTGAGTTAATTATACAAAATGCAACTGAGTATCATGCATCCAACATCTTCTGCCTTCTCAGAAACGGCACCAAATTAAGCAGTATGTTATGCTATCATCCCATCTTATCACTGAATTTTACAGTTGACAATGAAATGCTGTTGTAGAATCCCACTCGTTATTTGCTGCACACAACTACGCTGAAGTAAAATAATCATTACATACTCCTTAATGTAACTGATGGCATCAAATGCAAGTGCTTATAGGAATGTGCCACTGAATTACTGACTTACTTCACAATTACTTCAATCACATCTAATAAAAAATAGGAAATTACAATTAGTGGTCTTAGTTCTGGAGGTTCAAAGAATGTCTTGTTAGTTATCTCTGCCAGGCATATTTAAAAATTAAAACATGATCAGTCAGCACACTGTTTTATCAGAGTAGCTTCCCACAAAGATTTATATAAATTACATTGTAAGTTTAAATCAATTCCAAATAGAGCACAAGTACTGGAACTTCTGTGACACAGCTAACTTTACCAAGATGATGTTGGTCTCTTTCAGAGGTATTGGAGAGAGAACTCAAATTGGATGATGGCCGGGATCCCACTCTGTCAGCCTGAGCTTCATGAAGGTCCTGAAGCAGTTTAGTTGTTTCGTCTAGATGTAGATGGTTATCATCATGATCAAGCTCCTTCTTCACTTTTCCTAAAAGCCACCAACCAAAACCCATAATTAGCACATGTACATTGACGCATGAATTACCAAGTCACTATAAAAAAGTTCTAAACTTAATTAACCCAAGTATTGTCTATACCCAAATTACCTCAATCTTGCATTTTCCCTCGCACTTCTAAAAAGCAACAGCTGCAGACCTGTGCAGTACTGCAAGATGAAGGACAGTGCCACAAGGAAATGACTGAAACTGAACTGACTCCCAGTATCTAAACAACTGTAAGTTTAATTTGTCTCCCTTAGCTGAGAAATGCCAGATATGGACAGAGTGGCCTGGGATGGAAGGGACCTTAAAGGCCATCTCATTCCAACCCCCCTGCCATGGGCAGAGACACCTTTCACCAGACCAGGTTGCTCAAAGCCCCATGCAACCTGACCTTGAGCACTTCCAGGGATGAGGAACACATAACTGACACAACTGTGTCAGTGTCTCACCACCCTCACAGTAAATAACACATTTAGTTTGTGGCAAAACGGAGTCAGCAAACAGATCATTTAAATATCTAACTCAAAATACTGTTAAAACAGAACATGAAATCTATGGAGGCAAAGATATCCCCATCACAGAAGTTTCTAAGGTTCTGTATCTTCTCCAGCTACACTGATTTTATAGTAAGTAAAATTAAATTGCGAAATTGGAAAGAACTGGATGTATGTGCCAATATATGCTATTGTTTCATATGAAGACCTAAAAAAATTCCCTCAACTTTAAAGAGAAAGATAAATTTCTTCCCTTCTCTTCCTTAAATGTTAATTTTGCAAAAAATTATGGTAAGAAGCAATTTCATAAACTCTCTCTGGAAACCAACTAATCTAGCAGTATGATTATTTACAGAAAGGCCAAAGAAGAAAATATAAGCAGCTTTCAGTGGTGCATGAAATTTATAGTAAGACTGATATGTCTAAACATGATCTATAAAATGGATATTTATTAATTTTTACTGAACTGCAATAAAATTAAAGTGAGACAGCATAATCAAAGCTTACAATTGCTTTTCAAACTGCACCTATGTGAGAAATTTGTAGAAATCTTTTTGCCCTTTAAGCCTTCAATTAGTTTGGTTGTGTTTTATAATAGATGGCTTGGCCTCCTTCACATTCAGAACTAAAAGTACCTTAAAATATAAGCAAGTTGTTTGCTTGGATGACATTTTTGAAGGCATTTGACTAGCTCAGATGTCTGTAGAAATGGTAACAATACCTGTTGTGGTAATTACAGGATAACTGTCAAAGGCATGTATTTGAAACAGTATCCAAATTCTTTCACACAACTGAAGATAAAGTCTATCCAGTGCAGGAAGTTTCTTCCCACTTTTGTTTTGGGACATTCCAAGTAGCAATATGATCAGGTTTCACATACTTACCTAATTCCCAAGTTATTTTAAAAGACATTATAAGAAGCAACATAATTTCTGAGTGAAAGCTTCACACTGATTCTTAAAATTTATATTACTATGAACACAAGAAACACAAGCAAAGCTATCAAAATAGTGGGGTACAAATACTTTGTTTTTTTCAGTTGTATAGGAAAAGTTAGCTTGTATAACACATGGATGTCTCAAAGGAAAAACAGAGCAAGGTTCCATTTATCAGCCCATTACTTTTACTGCAGTCAAATGTATACTTATTACTACTTTTCAAACCGTTTTTTTTAGTCTTAGCAAATCCTGCTGTCATTTTCTCTAAATGGTACAACTAAACCATAACTGATGTCTTGTATATTTAGCTACTTACCTAATGAACTTAGCATAGAAATATCAAGAGATACATCTGAATATGTCTTCATAGAGAGGAAGTCCAAGTCAGAAGTGTTACTGTCTCCAGCAGATTCTCCAACCTATTAAAATACAAGAAAGAGAAAGATTAGCAAGACTGACATGCTGTGCTGTTAACTTCACAAAGTTTAATGCATAAATTCTCTCAGAAGTGTTATCTCAACATCTGAGACTGGAGCATCCACAACATCTTGGCTAACCTGAAATTCAGAGACAGCTCAAAAAGATTCTTGGACAGACTAGTTACATGAATGGCCAGGGATGTGCACAGTAGTCCAAGTCTTTTATCTCATGATCCAGGACTACTGAAACTCACACTCAACTCATCCACGTCTCATGGTAGAACCCTAGCAGGTGGAAGTAATGCCAGTGTCCCTCATCTTCTCCACATGTGAACATTTGATTTATTGAAATTTTTCATACAGTGTGCCTCCTTCTTCACAGTATCAGCTGGAACTGGCTGCTCTAGTATTTTTCCTATACATCTGGATAATGAAATACAGCCTACACTTTGCAACTCCCTTTCTCTCCACACTCACTACAATATTGTTAATGTAATGGCACAAAGGAAGAAATCAGAATCACTAAGCATCAAAACCTGATCTAAGGGAAATCTCTGAGGATGCCTGATCCAGCAGGAGAAATGAGACACTCAGGTAAACATACAACCAGATATTATCTTTTAGAAATATGAAAATGCGACCTACCACTTACATGAAATAACCAATCACCTTCTAAAGAAATCCACACCTTCCCACAAAACATAAGGAATATTTATAGAACTATAATTAATTGTTTTAGCTGCTATAATGTGATCCATATATTTTTTATGTGAATTGCATGGAATGTAGTGCGTATCTTCTGTTGTCACAAATAATATGCAAGATAAAACTAGTACCACTTAAAGAAAGATTTGGTTAGTAGCTGTAAAAGCGTAAGATATGCATTATTTACCCATACTTTCTAGTAGACATTTTCAATGGATATGATAAAACTGATTAATAACAACGAGGTGTTTTTCAATTTTACAGCAGGCTGAACCTCAAATATCGATCAGCAGATCAAGTATCTTTTTCAGATTCCTATGTGATCTTTCTGCCTCTGAGACTTAGTTATGCACGATGAAATAAGATGAAGAACAATAAAGCCACAAATAGAAACACACTGAATATCAGAGAATTCATTTTCAGTACTGCAACCTTATTCCAGATATTATACCTCAGATTGTGCACTGAAACAAAGTAATGTCTCAATACTACTTTTCTGTTTGTGGATTTTTCCCTGTTGTTTCCCTTCCCTACCCTCCAGCCATTTTACCATAATCTGTTTGGAAGAATCCAGACAGGTATTGCGCAACTTGTGTTCTTCTTTTATAAGAACTGGCAGAACCTAAATAACAAAGAAATACTTTAGATCTTAGCATTTCATAGCTTATATGTTGTGGTGTGATGTCATGACTTGCCTCAGTTACCCCGGTCTTTCCCCAAATGCGTCAATCACCTCTCCTTTCCCCGTCCCTGACCTCTGCCGAATACTGTCCATCAACCCAGAAATTCCAGAAGGGCGTCAAGTGATTGGCAGATTCAGTGCCCCACCCTGGGGGGCCACTGGCCCATCCAGGTGTCCTCCTCACCTGAGACTCCCTTCTCCCATACTGGCTTGGTGGTCCTTGTGTTCCCACCCTCCCCAGGGTAAAAGGACGGGACACCACGCAGTTGATAGTCCTAGTGGAGCTGTTGCTACATTCAGGAGCCATGCGGCCCAGAATAAAAACTCTGGATTAAAACCCTCCATCAGAACTGACTCCTTCCTTCACCATTCGCCTTAAAGCTTCTCCATCAGGGAAACCTGGGGAACGAACCCTCTGAGAGAGGAGGTTCTATCCCATCACCACCAGAGCTCGGGCATGCCCGACTCGTCCCAATGTGCCCAACTGCAACTCATAGCTAGCCAGAGTATCTCTGCTAGCACAACCGTTGCTATTTGGCTCAGCAGCAGAGGCCAGACAAGCCAAGGCACATCCCATTCAGCAATATTGGTAAAAACCAATACTTATATTTACTAAGGATGTTCCCTGAGAATGTTTGTGTAATTTACTGGTTTTCTACAATGAGGTTCTGGGCCATCATAGAAAACTGCCACATCCTGTGATGTTTGAGTAGAACCTTCACAAAAAACTAAAGACCAGCTCTTCTCTAGGGCAATCATATACAGTCATGCCAACAATTTGTAACTAACCAGGACAGCCACTCCAGGAATAACCTATAGCCTCTCCTTTCTCGTATACTCCACTTATCAATCTTTTCTGCATTACCATACAGAACAGAGGCACATTAAATAAAATAAAGAACTGGAATGTTGCAGGCTCAGAGAACGTAACTTTCTCTACTTTAAATGACAAAACACTTTTCCCTGTTAAAAACCCCAAACAAACAGAGTATTAGCATAACATACTTTAACTTCATCCAGTGGTTTTACTGGGATGTTTCGCCTCTGGAATGAAAGAATACCAACAATTGCTTATATTGAACACATGAGAAAGACATCTTTCTTAAGGTATATTCAAACAACACAAAAGGAGGCTAGAGGCAGCTAACTTTTTCCCATATCTGTAACATAATTAGAATGCAACAGTTGCCATTCTTAAATATTATAATATTATGCATTTTAACTAATCTTTGAGTTCCCTTATACTATTTCTTCTGCTCATAAACTTTATATTCAAATGCAGTATGTTGGTCATTACTTCAGTAACTTCTGATCACAAATCCTTCGAGGTTGTACTTCCAGAGATACTAATTCTTACTCAAATGCAGCAGTACAAAATGCTTAAGCATAGAACACTATGTATATGATCACTGAAACACATGTAATTGTGTAAAAGCAGTGTATATCCATATATGTCACAATAAACAGCATTTTCAAGTGCAAATAGCCATTGACCATTTGGAAGGTCCTCAGAAATTCTCACCTGGAACGACATTCATAGAAAAACATGGTAAAAGGAAAAGGCGCATTTTATTTTAATGCTAAGTTGACTATGATGCATACACACATTTCTATATGAAGAAGAGTATTCAAAATATTGGGTTTTAACTTTTTGAACTAATCCTTTACATTTCTTCCTGTTATATGTACCATCTTTTTCCGTAGGGAAAAAACACCCAGAAAATACTAAAGGACGGTCAGTGTTTTTCACTCCATTGTCTCCTTATTTCCTAACACCACCCATCCTACTCCACTTCTAAGTCTGCAAAGATCCAGCATAATCTCATTTCCACCATGTCAGTAAGCCTAAGTACTTTCCATCTTCCCACCCTGCCTCCCTTTCTTTATTCTTCAATCTTTCAGAGTGTTAGCATTTTAAAGAGCAGACAATTATTTAAACCTAAGACTGCCTTTCAATGTGAAGACAACATGAAATTTATCTTCAGAAAATTTGCAATTTTTTTAGCTTATTTTGTCTTGGGAATGCAAACATTCTCACGAGACCCATACACGTTTCTGAGAAAACTCTCTTCTCCAACCTTAGTATGTGTCTCTTCAGGAAAGTGCTTTTGGAAATAAGTAGACACACTACATGAATGAATGTAAAATTTAGCAATGGGGGTAAAAGACACCTGGTAGAGTGGTAATTACTCTATTTTTAAACTTTACTTCCATATTCCAAATAACTAATCCTTCCATGAGAAATATATTTTGCTTTTCAATTAAGAAAAAACCCAAAACTTTAACAAAAGGAGTGCAATATAACTCAGAAGTCTGTAAGTCATAACATTGAGTGACAAGGCTGCCCAAACTCCATCCCGTTGGTTGGACCCTGCTATGCTGCATCTCTTGTCTTCTCCTTTCTACAGTCACATAGTGAACCACATTGAAGAACTGACCTAGCCAAAGAAAAGGATTCCTCCTTCATTGATTAATTCAATCTCTAATTTGGTTTATGGTTGCTTGAACAGCTAGGCTTAAACTGGCAGTGGAAAACAAAGCATCTCACAGTACTAAAAAGCCAATAGGTTCATTCTTTTTCTGATGAATTTGTGACACTTCAGTGCACCCAGGACACACCTGCTTTAGCTGATAAATAGTTTTGGAATGGTCACCACTAGTGATCTGGTCCAGAAGATCATCAACTATTTTCTTGCTGTAACTTCCAGCATCCTTCACAAATTCTTGTAAGCTAACAGGAATGGAGATAAGCATTACAGAAAGCATTTACTCTCATAAAAACTACTTCAACTTAAAATGTTTTCCCAAACATACCAAGTTACACTGACATTTTCTTTTTCCTTTAACTCTTTATTGCTTTCAGGAAAGCAATTAAGGTCACCAGGATATAGAGCTTTTTCTTTTACTTCAGTAGTAAAGTAGATTTACAATTTATTTTTCACAAGTACCAGCAAATTCCGTCTTGAACTATCATTGATGGTAGGGTAGTGGGTTAAGAAACAAAACACAAAAGATAAAAAGCTTGAGATTATTTCTTTCCCTCCAAGATCAACAATTTAATGATAAAAGGCATTTTTCTTTTCAAGTAGTGTTAACCCCTTTGAAACCCTCTGAAAAACATCATGGTTTTAAAGCCACTGAAATATATTACTTTCCTTTTAAAATTTACTGCTGGGTAACACTAAATGTATGGCAACCTATAATATACTATAGTGGAAGACCCTAATAACAAGATCCATAACAACCCTGCAATAAAATAGAATAGCTTAAAAGGTCAAATGGGAAAACCCCCTAAAACTTTCCCCACATCCAAAAATCCAAAAGCAAACAACCAAAAAAAAAACAAACCAAGAAGGATAAAAACTAGCTTCAAATTTTATAGTGATTTATTTAAAAAATAAGTTTTAGAAAAAAAAATCAGGATTTGGAGGCTCTTAGTTGAGATCTAGCTTAAATTGCTTTGCAAAAAATTGCTATGAGAAGTTAACCTTCCTAATAAGGAAGAACTTACCTTAAGGCACACTGGATCCCAGTTTCGTCACCATATGCTGAGTATAGGAGCTCCATCTCATCTGGTTTTAAATCATGAAATATAGAGTTGTTTTGCAAGGAAGGTGCTGTATTGGCACTGGTAAGAAAGGTTACTACACAGATAAAAGACACAACAAATGATTAGTACAAGTGTCAAAGATCACTTGGAAAAAAAAAAAGATTGTATTTTCTGAAACAGATACAGAAAGTGCCATGTCTTTTTTCTTTCAACTGAAAGCAAGAGCAGTGTCTCAAGGACACTTCCAGACTCTAGATCAGCACTATTTAAACCATATAAACAAACATACTTATACTACTGAAAAATCAAGAATTAAGCTATCCACCCCACTCTGAGAAGAAAAAGGTTCACGGTCACATTCCCTTTTATATTTCTACATTTTGTGTGCATGTTAGTTGCCAGTCAGTTTCTGGACAGCAGATTAGAAACTATAAAAAACTGTCAATAATACCAGAAAAAAAATCCACAGTCTGCAAAATCTTTGTCATATGTTGCAAAATGCAAATGACTGGAAGTTATTTTTCAACCATAAGTGCAATTACTACGGAAAAACTATTCCCTCAGAGGAAATGGACTACCATTATTGGAAATCTTCTAGTGTGGCTATAACACTAAGGTAAAATATTAAGACATAAACTACTAATTAAATTAGGTTTAATAAGAAAAATATTCCATTTAATATAAGCTGCATTCTGCTGTTAATGGAATTATTATATTATACAAGTAACCAAGTGAACTTTCATAGTATAAACAGGTATAAACTGGAATTATTTTATATCAAGCAATTGCTTAAACATTTAATAAACACAAAGTTAAAACATAGTCTTTGGTAATTACCTTTATTTCTTCGTTCATCTTTGAAGCCCAGAGTAGTGAAGCCAGGTAATAATTTGCTTGACAGTGAACTCAGATCCACTGGGTGAGTTTCTTCCTCTAATAATTTTATTTAAAAGAAGGCTTAGAAAAGCATTTCATGTTTACAATTTATGACAAATAATTAGAATTTGCTATTTTAGAGCTGTAATTAACATAAAGACTAAATGTTTTTTAAACTACACATTAAGGGTAGGTACTGTAATTCAGGTTCTCCATTTAAATTTCAACCACAAGTTATAAATATGCTTCCATGTCATATTCACAAGATCTATGTCTTACTTAAGTTATTTCACTTTTAAAGAATACAGCAGAATCGGTAATTATTTTAGTAGCTGATTCACAAACCTTCCAGATATTACTGAAGGGATAGAAGCAGTCTCTTGCACTCTCTCTTATGTTCACTAAGTAGTTGTTTGTTTACAGAAATCCATTACCATCACTCTTTAAATTTTCAGTGGCATAATTTCAGAGGCATTAAATAATTTTTTTTTAGAAATAGGTTATAGGCATGATAGCAGCCAAAATGCTGAATTTCATTCCAGAAAAATTTACTACCAGATGAAAAAGAATTTAACAGGCTTGTGTCTCTTAATGTGATTAATGTCAAAAGCATTCATATATTCATCAGTGAAACAAGAGGAAAGCTGTGAAAAAAAATCTAATCTCATAGTTGCAGAGAAGGAAGTGCTAAGTCAACATGACATCCAAAAAACTATGGCATTTCATTAATTACAATTTTTCAATACTTCTGCATCTTGAGCTTGAAATTAAAGCAAAGGGAAAGCATAAAACAATATAAATAACATAATAGTAACAGAACAAAAAAAAAAGAGAAAATATCAAGGAACTAAAGTAAAAAAATTGAACAAAATCTCACAAACTTAAAACTGAAATTTAGCTAATGACTGAAATTAGGTAATAAAGAGGTAAAAGATTATTCTAAATTTGCATCTGTGCATTACACATTTACATAGAATTGCAGCACCTTCATTCACCTTTTGTCATTAGGTATTAATACTACAGTGTACTTGCAGTAAAAGCTTGTCTTCCAAGCTTTTAATAAAGTTGTAGCAATGTGTAAGTGCTTCTAAGGAGATATTATTTTATCTTCTCACTATTGGTATCAGTAAAACAAAGCATCTGAAGAGCGAAAAGAAGGCAAACAGAAATACCTTTGGGGTGTTTGGAAAAATGGTTTGGGAAATAATCAATGAAAATAATAAAAATTTTTGAAAAAATAAAAACATTTTTAAAACTCATATATACTACATAGGATCTGTATCTACAGTTAAGACTTCAAAATCTGTTAGAACATTCAAGACAAGAAAGCCTTGCTTGAAAAAGTATGGCTTTTACCTTCTGCTTCTGGATCAGATGAATTTACTACACTAAATAATAAAGTTCCATCTCCATTTTTTTTCAGATAACCAATCTGTGAACAGAACCAGAGAGATACAGGAGGAATCATTCAAAACTGTTCACACTCAAAGAAGGAGCTGCTCATTTACAGAGAAAACTATAAAAAGCATTTTTAGCTGTATTGCACTGCACTTTGATATTCCCTTTTTCATACAGAGAACCTTGGGTCACAATGATTTAACACCACTTAGCAAGAGTTTCAGAACAGAAGACTTAGAAGAAGTTAATACATCATATATATAATGCCCTATTCATCTTTCTAAGTGAGATCTAAAGTTTTCACCCAAGACAAACCCAATTCCATTGTCATTAGCACGGAACCAGCCTTTCTGACTGCAAAGTCCAGAACACACGTTCTTTTTAGAAGCAGTTATCCACAAAATCACTGCTTATTTTCAAATGTAGATTGAACTGCTTGTTTTCATGTCTCACCCACAACTTGCTCAAATTAGAAATACTTTTATTAACACACTACCAAATTCTTCAAGAGGAAGAAGTGCTGTGACAGACCTACTGAAGCAGACACGCACAATGCTAAAGACAGATGTGAAACACAACAGAGCACACCAGGGTCTAAAAAGTTAGAGCCAGATCTGATGAAACAAGCAAAGCTAATGTCAGAAACCAACTACACATGAATTGAGAAAAAAGCACTGTAACCTCTCAATATAAAAGGAAAATAAAATCTGTTGTCTCCCTACAAAAATATTAGTAAATACTTCTGAGGAAATGAACAACAAATCTCTCCAATTTTGTTTTATATCCCCCTCCATCTGAAAAAGTTTAAAACTCTCCATACAGAAGGCCAAAGCTAATATTGGCATACAATAAAAACAGAGGTGCTGGAAAGAAACTGAACAAGAACAGTATCTTCAAGCGATGGCAGAAGTTAGCAATGGCTGAATTCCAAGAATGTGCCAGTGTTACCTAGATTCAGTGGGACATGCAGTGGGGCTGTCAAGCTGACTTAACAGCCTTAGCAACTAAGAGCTGCACACCTTGACAAACTTCCTTGAACAGTGCAAAACTGACTGCATCAGTCAATAGTATTGCTTTGAAGATATCTAAAAAGCCACTCTTACTTTGGAGGATTCAAATAGACTTCAATTCTAGCAAGTCTTCTCATTATCCAAAGAAACACAAATACATTGAAACTAAGCCTTCACCCACTACTCTATGCAGTTTTATTTCATAATCCAGTTGAGCCTAAACTGACTGCATAATCAGGGCCACTGCCCAAGAAACGGACATTTAAGTTTGAAGATGCAACACCACTTTTACTTAAAAGTAAAGTTTCTTCTGCAATAATTTTAAAGCAGTGGAAAATGCAGGATGTGGACACATCCTGATTCTCTTCTCGACTGCAGTGACCACCAGAGTGAAAGATGAGAAATGGGAGCAAAGGCGGGGATAAGACTCCATAAAATTCAAGGGACAGAGAGTAAATGTATCTCAGTACAGATCTGTAGCAAATGCCTGGGGCATTCACTCCAATCCTAGCACCAGGAAATTAAGGAATCCACCACTATCATCACAGAGCTGAAAAACCCACAGCTAAAAAAATTGATCCTCCAGAGAAAACTGCACCAACAGCATCACCGAGCTTGTCCTTGGAAGAGCACAAAACCCAAATACATGGAATAACATCAGCATCACATTCAGAACTGTAAAACTTGCTATCTAAACCTAGTTCAATAAAAGATCTGTATATTTAGTACTCATGCTACAGTTGACAGCAACTACTTGTAAATAGAAAACTACAAGTTTACAGACTCTCCTCATTAAAAACAGTAATTTAACACTAAAAATGTTAATTCCTGGGGCGGGAAGGGAGGGGAGAGAAAGGGATAGCCTAATAGCCCTTCAACCTGTGCCATAGTTTGCTTTTTCTGAGGTTGCAACAATAAGAGAAGTATGATGTTATTTTAATCGCTTTCAATGCTAAGGGCTGCAATTCAAGAAGGAACACCATTTCATTGTTTCCTGCAAGTGAATTTCCAAAGACAGAACCTGAGATCCACTTAGGACCCCCTACAGTGGCTTTCAGTGGCAACTAAAGATAGACAAGAGCAGTATCAGTATGCCACACAGAACATATATCCCAGATGCTCTAGTCCCAGGCAGCCTAGCAGTTAAAGCCTGTTTCCTAACATGAAACAAAGCATTCAACAGTCAGGCACAAACTGGACCTGCAAACTGCCATGTGCAGCAGACCTTGCTGTTGGGTAGATATCGATTAATCCTATCCCGAGCTTCGTCTGCTGCATGTTCCACTAGTGCCAGGACATGTTCTTCAGCAGTGCTGTCTGTCAGGCTGCATGCATTCCCCTCAGGTTCAAAAATGCAGCTAAAAAAGAGAAGAAGAGGAGCTGTAGCAATTAAAAGCTAAAACAAAGGGCTGAATTCTGGCTTTGCTTAATAGAACAATCAGTCCCACTCTTCTCCCAGTGTCAGTCTACTTCAGCATTTAAGTAGAATTATAATCACTATAATCATATAATCGTTATAATCATATTATGAAGTTTTGCAGCAGAAGCTGTGAACTACCAAACTACTAACTTCAAAAATTTAATTGTTTCTGTATCCTGTTGAAAATTAAGTATAAAATGAAGCACGAAACAGAGATTGGGAGTAAAGCTGGCATTAATACAAGGTGAATGATGTATGCATCCTTAGTCTGCCACATGCACACATACGCTGTTTTCAAAAATTAAAAACAGGAAGATGCAGAAAATAAATTACGTAATGAGAGATAGAAACTGGTGCTTATCAGAGAAAAAACCCAAGAGCCTGCATTTATGATGATGATGATGTCATATAGCTGCTTGCAGAAGTAGGACACAACTCCCAGTCTAAAAGGGAGTCCTTTAATTTCTATGTTTTTAGTATTGGCAATTAGCATTCCTAATCTGTATCAATCACAAAACTGCTAGCAACTGAAATTACAGAATTTGACATTTCTCTTTCAGTAGATCTGTTTTCATTAGAGCTCCAAACCAATAAAATCGTAGCATATAAGCATACCCAAGGATGGAACAGGACATAGCTATCACATAAAATCAGAAAAAGGTAATACCATAAAGAGAAGTGTGAAGATATCATAGAATATGGCAGTCTTCATTATATTTTATACATAAAATAAATGTTGTACATCGAAGTATTTCAGGGCATTATATGGACATTAGACACTAGGGCCAAACACCTTAGGTACTGGGTAGAGCATCTCCTCACACCAAATCCATTTCTCTCTCCTGGGTTATCTTCTTCCATTTGCTTAGCTAAGAATTTCTCTCTGTATAGAGATTCAGATCCAATACACAAGTAAGTTTTGCTATTAAAGACAATAAAAACATCACAGGATCATACTATTACGAGACAAACGTGTTATACTATTTTGTTTCATTGAAACTTTAAGAAAGGGTGTACACAGCAGTAAACTCCTCAACAACTGGCACTTTCTGTCATACACTACAGAATACTTAAAGGACAAGAATTTTGAAAGAATGTTCAGAGGATTCAGAACATCCTAAAAAAATTTTCAAAAACTATTTAAACATTAGGATATTCAAGTGATCAAGTTACTTTTTCTTCTATATAGAGGTCTAAGCTGCTTTAACACTTTGTAAACCCTGACTTCAACTCCTTCTCTGCTTGTAACCATGTTTTTGCCTTCATATTTGTAACCAAATATGAAGGCAAAAATATCTGCTATTAGATTTGATTTTCCCCTCTAAGGGTCTTATTGTCCAGCAAAAAATACAGTATCAATCCTACAGATGCAAAAATACAAGTATTTAAAACTTCATGTCACTTAGAAAACAACTAATTTCAACTACTAAAATTACATAGATATTGAGAAGAACAGAAAAGTAGATTTATACTACATCCAATTGCTGATAAACTGGTACCAGGATAAAATTAAAGGTCATAATTTTTAACTGTGATCTGTATGTTAGATGTAGATGGCAGTCTCAATTTCTTGTTCTGTGATAAAGAACAAAGTTACTCCTGTGGCAGAGTTCATGCAAGAATTAATGCTGGACACCACACAAACCAAATTATTGTGTCTTCTATTGTGTTCTATAGGAACAATAAAAAACCAAAGCACCTCCCTTTCAAGACTTGTTTACAAAAAGGTGCTTTCAGTTGATTTCTATCCACAATCCACTAAACAAAGGACAAATTATACCTTCTCAATTCTCTATGATACAGGAAGAGATTAGTTTCTCTGTGTTATCATTAGAATAGCTTCCTCCACAGATAAATACGGTTTAAAATTATTTATGAAGATACATGCTGCAGTCTTCTATTTCCAAAAAACCCCTAAATTAGAATACTACTTCTTCCGTCAGCAATAAGGATTACAAAAATGCTGGAAGCGTAAAAAATTAAAAGTGGCTGATGAGAACTCTAAAGCTCACTTTTAAAAAAACATGAAACAACGTATATTTCACTTTTTTTACTTTGAAGATTTAAAAAGAAACCTGCAGAACATATCTACATGATCAGACTATTTACAATATGACTAGTGATGCTCTGTTGCAATATTTTTTCCCATAAAATTCCAGCTGATGTAATGCTTTACAATTTAAATTCACAGTCTATCTTTGGATGCCTATGCAAGAACACTGGATAATATAAGTTGCTTGTATATCATGGTTTCTGCTAAAATCTCATAAAATAAATTGACTAAATTCAGATTTAAAGAAAAATTATTAACATTAGATTTTAGTTATAAAAATGTGAATTTGTGACACGGGGGTACCTATTAGCTGGAAGATTACTATTGCACTAGCAATATCTTTACCAAGAAGCTTAATCAGATTTCACTGGGGAGATGTTATCACCTGCTCCAGAAATAATCTCCTGTAATAATCTCCACAACCTGCCAGACAAGTTAAAGTTAAATAAAATCACTCACTGATCTGGGGCCATTTTGCCCTCCTGGGAAGAACCTCTTACATTTTGATGAGACTTCTTTAGGAAAGGAAAAAAAGGGACAAAATGCAAAAGGTATTTGTAGCTGTATCCAAAATAACATTTTAAACCATCATGAGAAGAAACCACTCATTATTTAATACAGATTTAATAAAGAATGAAAATATCTCTATAGATATTAATTTTAAGCATTTGAAAGAATATGCAGTCGTCTTTTGAATTGTTTGCTTCAAATTAGGAATCACTGGGTTATTAAGCAAGTTCTACAAAAAAAACAAATAAAATACAATAAAATTGCCCATTTATGCTATGGACCTCAAGGAAAAATGCTGAGTTTTTTTCCTCAGCTCTTTCCTGCTGCGCAGTACTACAAACGCCGCAACAAAACGAGTAAGCATGCCCATTAAAACCTTTACCTAATGACTTCTTTATTTTGCTTTTTGGATTTCTTGGTAGTCTCTGCTTGTACAGGAACAACTTCAGGAACAGGTTCTTCAACTGCTGTGTCTTCATCACCCAAAAGAGCTGCCTGCTGAGAAAAATCCATGTCCTGCATAAACGACATGCTGCGCTTCAAAGCTAACAGCCGTTCCTAGAATCAGAAAGGACAGAGCGGCAGGGACTTAACCTTTCCCTCATAGCCAAGATGCTATGATAATGGGATGGGATGGGATGGGAATGGCCATGGCCTTATTTTGTTCTTAATGTCTTGTTTCCAATGGCGATGCAACATGATTTGGTCATGGTAGCATGGCATCAGAATTTCTGCAGCCCAACTATCAAGAGAGAAACAAACAAACAAACAAACAAACTGCATATGCAAAACCAACTATTTTACACAAAACTTACCATCGCTGTAACACATGTGCACACACATGCGTACACACACAGAGCAACTCACAAAAAACTTTAATTTGACAAGCCAACAACTGTATCTGAATAAAAAGTATTTGTGACACCTCTGAAAACTCCCCGACATCTAACACCTTCAAAAAAGTAGTGTTTTCTTGTTTACACAGAAATAAAACTTAAATGAGATCTTGCTTCCAAAGTTTCAGCCAGAAGTAGGATTTTTCAGTAGAGTCCAATATATGTGAATTCTAACTGCTTCCACTGAAAGAAGCTCTTACACACTTCAGTAGTGCAGGTAGGGTGGAGAAACAAGTAAATATTACTCCGTTATAACAAAAATGCCATCAAGCCCTTATATACAGCAGCACTAACTGCGCTGCTGTAATTCATCACAGATGGATGAAACAACATTAACCATTGTTATTTTGTTCCTTTTAAGTATGGTAACATAAAAACCCCCAAGGTTTCTGCTTTTTGTTTTTAATAGGTCTCTTACTTTGCTCATCATCTTAAAGCCTGTGTGCAGTATCTTCTTGGCTAGCTTGTAGTAAACAGTATCTGGTCTGTTGTAAGTCATTGCATTATCACACATCAGTTTAAAATCGGCCTGTAAAATACAAAACAAAGGAACTGTAAGCATTTCAGGTCCTTGGTCAAATGACTGGAAGATACCACTCCCTCTTGGCATCTCTTTGAAAAACACAGTAATATTCTAGGAGCAGGCTCATGAACAGAAGCCAAAAACAGAACTGCAAAGGTTTGAGCCTCTCCCAAGATGCTCAGTTTCCTTTGGAACTGGCTTTTGGTTATAAAAAACACTCTCTTTCCTGAATGCCAAACGTAACATCATCTTCTTAACCAAGTGGACCAACTGGACTAAGTGGACCAAACACTGGATCGAGCTACCAAGGTGACTTTTTACAGCATTGCAATCCCTCTGCCTCCAATTACCAAGACCATTGCAAAGACAGAAATTGAGGTGACATGGATGAGCAAACTATGGGCCAAAAAGCAGACAAAGATGTGTATGTAAGCTACACTTCCAGTGATGACCTTTCAAGTGCTGTAGAAACAGCCAGTCTTCTGCTTGCCCAGCTTTGAAGCAGACCCTTTTTTTTCTGAAGCAAAACGAAGGAGTGTTCTGCAGAAACTGTTCCTCTTTTAAATTCAGGACAGAGTTCTTTCAGACTCTACTCTTAGATTATTCATTGTCTTGTGACTAGCCTCAGCTAGTTATATCAGACAGGTAACCTTTTGAGCAGACTCTGTTTCAGAGGTTAAAAACCTACAAACTTCATTTCTGTATTAAGGTTATGGCTCTGTAGCTCTGTGTAATTAGGTACCCTCACATATCTGGAAAGGAAGTCCAATTCCTTTTTCGCCCTAACATGGACAGACTTTAAGCAAACTTTTATCACTCTTCCAACTACCAGGAGAAGCTAAGTCCTTGAGGAAATAAGAATGTCAGTCTAAAAATACTGCAACTTTTTTTAGGTTTCTATCCCACCAGTTTCAATACTGCAACCTTGCCTGTTAATTAACAGTGACAGAGCTTCCACCCAAAATTCACTTTTAAGCTACTGAATAAGACAATACAGCAAGACAGAATTTAGATACCTGAAGGCATTGCTGATGGCAATGAATCCTTTCTCACTATTTCCTATAAATTTCTATGGCATATTTAACAAAACAGAGTAATACCCTTTGTCAAAGCATCTGTAAAAAATGTAAACCATTCTTTGCTCACCTTGCTGGACCTTTCAAAAAAAGAGATTAACCCTGAGAAACAAGCCAATGCTCTCTTGCTGAGGCTACTGTCACATCAACATCAGTCTAGGAAAAAGCAATTCCAAAAGCTGCTAATAATTCATGACCTTCACAAATCAGTTAAGGAAAACTCTTCTCCTTCAGGAGCTAGCAATACTATGAAAACATTTCTTACTGCACTGTCTGTAAAACCACAATATATCTAATAAATTATTACAGCAATAACAATATGATTAATAACTAAGTTAAGCTGCAAATAAACTTGCCAAGTAAGTTTCTGCCACAAGACAATTTCAAATGAAGTTATATGAAAATCAGAATAATTAAAGATAAAAAATATGTAATTGCTATTTATTCACATACAACATGCTCCAGTATATGCAAAGGTTTCTTGCAGACAGGTCCAAACTACATTTAAATCAATGTAACAAGGTCTAGATAAAAAAAAAGAACCAAAAAAATAGAGCTCAATGGCTTAAGTCTTTGTGATAATCTTACTCCTGTCAAAGTTTAGCAGCATAAATTCCACAGAACTTTAGAAGATCTTCTTGTTTTCCATAGTAATTTGTAGAAGACTGTAGTAGAATCTGACAGATTATTTATAACACACTGAATATACAAAAGTGCTCAGTTCTGAAAAAAATGAGCATTAGTTAATGTAACAAAGGTTTCTACAGTTAAAAAGAATCTTCAGTTTCTTACTAGTCGTGAAATATCTAAATCTTTATTAATTCACCTTGAATTCAGTGACTGATTTGTATTCATTTGCTGCAATTTTTTCCTTCATCGTACCAAAATCCATAGGGTGTTTTATTATCATGGAATATCCAGGAGCAATGGCATCCGTGACTGGAAAAGCAAAAAACCCATGAGGATCTTTCCTAAAAATAAAAACAATAAATTTAGATTTACAGCAGCAAACACAATGATCCTTGCTTTTGCATCACATTAATAACACAATAGTACTACTAAAAAATCAAAACCCACTAAAAACATTCTCATAAAACAGATGCACGTTTGAAAAATTTCCTGGTAAAGGAAAGCATTGTGATTTCACATACGTAGACTTATTTCAAAAAGAAATTATTGAAAATTTCCATTAAAAATGTCCTTCAATTCAATTCAATGAACAAATGATCAATTCAAGCTAGTTCTTGTATGTCTCTACACTTCAGCTTGGTCTTTTGGCTTCTTTGAGGAAAAAAAGCTCAATCCTTCTTGTTCCTAAAGTCCTCTAAAATAAATACAATGCTTAATTTTTTAAATTAGTTCCAGATTCAGCTTATTGCTATGAAATAAAAAAGGAATGTTTTGTTTAAACATGAGGTGCAGGTTTAAGAAAACAATAAAATAAAAAGGCTCTCCCGATTTGGAAGATTAACAAGTAACCAAGTCTAAATTTGCTTTGTATCTGACAGTGGACACTGAATAAAACAAAATTTAACTAAAACGGTCCAATCTTTTAAAGTAATGTAGAGTTATAACTGGCTTTTAATCCCTAAACTATGTCATTAATATTTAATAAATTTATAATGGTAATGTATAATTTGCCCAAAACACTTATTTCCCTGCCCAATGCTAGAATTGCAAACTTGGTAATAATTATCCTCAACTTATCTTTAAAAACAAGCAGGTTTGACGTGGCTGCAAAGCTTAACAAATATCTTACAGTCAGTCACCAGGCACTACTTTCAAACAGAAAACCAGCATAAGAAGTTGCCAAGTAACACATATAAATATGCACCAGACACTGCCAACACTGAAGCTGAAGATACAAAAACATTTACTACCTTTGAAGCTGGCGAAGGAAGTGTTCCAGTAATTGCTGGATTGGTGTGCTCTCATTTTCAGCTGCATTTTGAGATGAAAACCCAGGTAAGTGCAATGAAACCACACATGCATATATTTTTTTTGTTTAAAAATATAAGTACCACAGGAAATCTTACTACAAGTACAGCTTGTACTGATCTGATGCCAAATGTATGAACATGGATTTGAAAGCAGAAACACACCAGATACCTAAGCACACAGTACCTATTTCTTCTTCCATTAGTTTTTGAGCTGTTTTCTTACCATGTTAAAACCTAGTCTCTGTTAAGTCAGATGTAGTGCTAAGTTTAGCAGCTCTCAGAATATGCATTAATAAGATTAAAATAATTACATTATATATTTCTGCAGAGAAAGTGAAACTTGGTTGCTCCAATACTGCAGTTGGGAAATCTGTATTCCTACAACATATTCACTGTGCGATTTTCATGGTTTCTTCACCATAAACCCCCTGCAATTCTATAAGCCTTTCAATCACAGAGTGACAAACAGATGCAGATTTACTGGCAGGAGAGGTAACAATTACAATTTCACTTCCTGTACAGATCATACAAGAAACACTACATGTTAATAACTTGTTACTTCAGAGAGACTGGCTTTAAGTGACATTTGAAATATTAATGAATCATCAAGAATTGAAAATCCAACTCTCCATGATAGAGGAAAGACATTTCCTTTCTTAAACAGAATGGGTCAGGTAATTTAAATGCCTTCCAATACCATTTTACAACCAGACGAAAAGAGAATAATAATAGGAATAGTTTTTATCTTGTCAGTTTTTAAGGCTCCTAACTACCCAGAGACATAAAACTCTGACCTGAAAATTTCAGTGACCTTGACAGCTGATGGCCACTATTCCTCAATTTAATGTGTGACCACAATTATAAAATTCCTCGGGATTACTTGACTAGTTAAAGGGCAGTATTCCAAAGACAAGACTCACAATATTCCTAACGACACAATTTTTTGCTCCTAGGTTCCATTTTCAGGCTTATGTATAACTGAGATCGTGATGTAATTGAAAATTCTCAAAAGTAACGGTTTCCACTGAGTAATGCTGACTTTTAATTATCAAGCAATGGCTACAGGTAGAAAAAGCAAGGCAAAATCTGAAAGGATCAAACATGCAGAAGTTGCCACACACAACTGACAAATATTTTGGCTGGTGATAAGAATTAAAGAAGATTTGTAAATGAAAAACAGGGCTGGTATGTGGTGTCTACAATCTTTAGAGATACACTATCACAACTTCTTTTCCATGAGACTAGAGATACTAAAACTCTACATACGGCAGAAAACAAAAAAGACAAAAACAACACCTAAAAAGTCTCCACGAGAGTTTTTTCCCTTGAACTAAATGAAACCTAGTTTCAGACATTCTGATCACTATGGTGTAAATACTAAGGAGAAGGAATTAGGGAAGCACTACATGCAACGACACTTTTATAATGAGGTTTACCCTGCCAATGAACAGAGGCCAGAGACAGGTGTCCTCGGCAACATCCATCACCTGAAACCAAACCTACTAAAACATGGAAGCATCAAGGGGAATATTGACTTTTCAGATAGCAGAAAGTTCTGGATGTTGGAAAAAGTAAAGTTCCTATATTTCAGTAAATCTTCATGAAAATTTTACCTTTGACAAAAGCTTTGTTTTGTGTGCTTTTAAAAAGAACGAAAATAATTTAATCTTTCACACTGTTCACCTGGCTGAGTTCTGCATGCTCTGACAGGACGATCTGGAGGAGGTTCAACCTCCACTTTTTTCCCAGGATCAAAGTCATCAGTTTCTCCTTCAGTGTCACACTGTTCCTTCTCCCTCTTCCTCTTTTTCTCTTCCTAGGACAGCAGAGAGAAGACATATTTTAGAGGGATGTACTTTGAATGCACAATCCCATACATCAAAAGGTAAGAAACAGTGATGTTTTTAATTTGGAATACTCATTCAATATCCAAGTCATAATACAGTTTAAACAATACTGCATATATTTTCAATACCACTTTTTAAATTTTTTTTCTCCAATTAAAACTGTTCATCTTTTGCTACTTTGTATTTGATACAGTATTGTGCTATCATTCCTGCATGTTTATTGAAAAAGACAAATTCTGAAGCTATTTATATGTAAAACTGCATGATAATAAGTTACACCAGAGAGCAAAGAAAGTTAACTTACTATTGAGTAAAGATCAATCTGTGGCTCCACTCTCATCAATGTATTTTTGTTGTTTGTCACATTAAACAGAAATGAGTAAAATATATGACAACTCAGCCAACAAAAGAACCACAAAAAACAGTGGTGGCAATTAATGATCTCTTCTTGAGTTTCAAAGCAAAGGCACAGCTAAGTCATTCCTGAAATCCCACAATTATTATCCACATTTGCACAGAAAAGCATACTTTCATTAACCTTCCTTAGACTATGGCTTCATTACTTAACTATCAATGAGTTTATTTTCAATGTATTAATCATGAAGTTCTGTGAAAAAAAATCCAAACAACCCCCATCCCACAACTCAGTAAAGGCAATTGATACTGCAAAATCTTGTATGAAGGACAGCTGGTTTTACTACATTTCAAGTCCCAGCCTGAAACATCTGTACTAAGAAAATTGTGCACTGTCTGTGCTCTATTTCAGAGCTTCTGAACAATCCTATGAGATCTGTCGCTTGACAGATTTTTTTTGTTAGACTTGTATTACTTGGAACTGATAGATGTTAGCCACAAACACACACAAAGTAGCACAAAAAACCTGTCACACAAGAATAGTAAAACTACATGACAGGAGAGAATTAAAAAAGCAGAAAGGTCAGAGAACCATCATTACACAAAACAAATACTCTTAAGATTGAATTGTACAAGTAATTGTGCTGTCAATGCCTCAGTCCTGATTTTAAACAAACTCTCCCCAATGTTCAACACAGAGAACTAAGGTGACCACCCTACTTGCTATTAACAAAGTCACAAAGCCCAGCACACAGGTTATTCAAAGAGCTAATGATGTAATATACCACAGTGTTCAAGAGTTCAGAAGCTGTTTTGAGTAAACATATCAATTTCAATGTCCAGTATCCTGGCAGATCTCCAAAACATAAACACAGCCTGGATTTGAAAAGCTGAAAATACCCTCCCTAAAATGGTAGCAAAACATGTTTGTCACCAGACAAAAACACAAAAGATCCAACTGAAAAACAGAAACATTCGTTCAAGGCAAATAAATAAGGAAAATAAAAAGTTACAAGAAGGAAGCTTTTACTTTGTTCATAAAATCATCACAAAAGGTATCTCCTTTAAATGGCAAAAGTAAACCAACTCACACACAGGGTTTTCTACATTTCTGAAGTGCTATCTCCAGACAATAAGCTTCTTGTAACAGTGATTTAAAAAAAGTTCTGCACCACATTTCAGACCTGATAAGCAAGCATGAAGGCTGGTGTGTCTGAATTCTAAAATTCACAGCTTACCTTTCTCTTTCTTCTTTCCTCATCATCTAGATGCTTTTCTTTTTCCTTCTCTGACTTTTTCTTCTTTTTTTTCTTCTTTTCTTTATGTCGTTCTCGCTCATGATCTGATCTATCATCGTAGTAACTAGAGTCATGCCCTGACCCAGAGAGTTCAGTGACTTCACTGCCTCCAACTTTAAGAACGAGCTTTAAGGGTTTTTCCAAAGGCTTGTCCACATAATCTAAATTAAAAAAATAACTTAATAAATGCGCAAGGAGCTAACAGCACACAGCAATTACAGAATCAGTCTCAGGTCAGAAAAGACACTGAGATCAAGTCCAACCTATGACCGAACACCACCTGTCAACTACACCATGGCACTGAGTGTCATATTCAGTCTTTTCCTAGACTACGAAGAGTTACTGTCCCTAGCACCTCTAGGGACAGTAACTCCAGCACCTCCTTGGGCAGCCCATTCTAATACATAATCACCTTTTGGTAAAGAAATTCCCAATGTCCAACCTGAAGTTCCCCTAGTGCATCTTGAGGCCATGTCCTCTCATCCTGTCGCTGGTTGCCTGGGAGAAGAGACCGACCCCCACCCAGCTACACCCTCTTTTCAGGCAGCTGCAGAGTGAGTGGTCCCCCTGAGCCTCCTTTTCTCCAGGATAAACAACCCCAGCTCCAAAGCTTCTTCTAGAACTATTGTTTATAAGAAGTTGCTGCAAATCAAAAATATACACAATACATTTGGAAAGAAAAACAATAGCAAAGGCTAACAAATCCAAGCTAACAAACAGTCGTCCTGCACATTTACGTTGCGATGTTCCACAAACCTTCAAGACATAAGAAACCAGCTCTTCGGCCTCCCCTAAAAGAGTCGCAAGGTCCTTGCAGAGCAAGGTGAAATTAAACATCACTCTAGCGACCGGATCGCCCTCAGGAGCGGCCGTGGGAAGCACGGAGACGCTCCGGCTCACACCCCCCCGCCCGCCCCGCGTTCCTCGGGCCGCCCCCGCCGTCGGCAGCTCCGGCACTCGGAGCGAGGTCTCTCGCTGCCCAGGCCCCCCAGCCCGCGCAAGGACGCCGGGCCCCGCCGACAGCTGCGCCGGGGGAAGGGAAGGGCGCGTCCCGGGTACAAAGAGACACCCCCGGCCCTTACCGCTGTAGGTCAGGAAATGCAATTGATACTTCAAAATCTTGTATGAATGACAGCTGGTTTTGCTACATTTCAATTCCCAGCCTGAAACATCTGTACTAAGAAAATTGTGCACTGTCTGTGCTCTATTTCAGAGCTTCTGAACAATCCTATGAGATCTGTCGCTTGACAGATTTTTTTTGTTAGACTTGTATTACTTGGAACTGATAGATGTTAGCCACAAACACACACAAAGTAGCACAAAAAACCTGTCACACAAGAATAGTAAAACTACATGACAGGAGAGAATTAAAAAAGCAGAAAGGTCAGAGAACCATCATTACACAAAACAAATACTCTTAAGATTGAATTGTACAAGTAATTGTGCTGTCAATGCCTCAGTCCTGATTTTAAACAAACTCTCCCCAATGTTCAACACAGAGAACTAAGGTGACCACCCTACTTGCTATTAACAAAGTCACAAAGCCCAGCACACAGGTTATTCAAAGAGCTAATGATGTAATATACCACAGTGTTCAAGAGTTCAGAAGCTGTTTTGAGTAAACATATCAATTTCAATGTCCAGTATCCTGGCAGATCTCCAAAACATAAACACAGCCTGGATTTGAAAAGCTGAAAATACCCTCCCTAAAATGGTAGCAAAACATGTTTGTCACCAGACAAAAACACAAAAGATCCAACTGAAAAACAGAAACATTCGTTCAAGGCAAATAAATAAGGAAAATAAAAAGTTACAAGAAGGAAGCTTTTACTTTGTTCATAAAATCATCACAAAAGGTATCTCCTTTAAATGGCAAAAGTAAACCAACTCACACACAGGGTTTTCTACATTTCTGAAGTGCTATCTCCAGACAATAAGCTTCTTGTAACAGTGATTTAAAAAAAGTTCTGCACCACATTTCAGACCTGATAAGCAAGCATGAAGGCTGGTGTGTCTGAATTCTAAAATTCACAGCTTACCTTTCTCTTTCTTCTTTCCTCATCATCTAGATGCTTTTCTTTTTCCTTCTCTGACTTTTTCTTCTTTTTTTTCTTCTTTTCTTTATGTCGTTCTCGCTCATGATCTGATCTATCATCGTAGTAACTAGAGTCATGCCCTGACCCAGAGAGTTCAGTGACTTCACTGCCTCCAACTTTAAGAACGAGCTTTAAGGGTTTTTCCAAAGGCTTGTCCACATAATCTAAATTAAAAAAAAATAACTTAATAAATGCGCAAGGAGCTAACAGCACACAGCAATTACAGAATCAGTCTCAGTTAGGTCAGAAAAGACACTGAGATCAAGTCCAACCTATGACCGAACACCACCTGTCAACTACACCATGGCACTGAGTGTCATATTCAGTCTTTTCCTAGACTACGAAGAGTTACTGTCCCTAGCACCTCTAGGGACAGTAACTCCAGCACCTCCTTGGGCAGCCCATTCTAATACATAATCACCTTTTGGTAAAGAAATTCCCAATGTCCAACCTGAAGTTCCCCTAGTGCATCTTGAGGCCATGTCCTCTCATCCTGTCGCTGGTTGCCTGGGAGAAGAGACCGACCCCCACCCAGCTACACCCTCTTTTCAGGCAGCTGCAGAGTGAGTGGTCCCCCTGAGCCTCCTTTTCTCCAGGATAAACAACCCCAGCTCCAAAGCTTCTTCTAGAACTATTGTTTATAAGAAGTTGCTGCAAATCAAAAATATACACAATACATTTGGAAAGAAAAACAATAGCAAAGGCTAACAAATCCAAGCTAACAAACAGTCGTCCTGCACATTTACGTTGCGATGTTCCACAAACCTTCAAGACATAAGAAACCAGCTCTTCGGCCTCCCCTAAAAGAGTCGCAAGGTCCTTGCAGAGCAAGGTGAAATTAAACATCACTCTAGCGACCGGATCGCCCTCAGGAGCGGCCGTGGGAAGCACGGAGACGCTCCGGCTCACACCCCACCGCCCGCCCCGCGTTCCTCGGGCCGCCCCCGCCGTCGGCAGCTCCGGCACTCGGAGCGAGGTCTCTCGCTGCCCAGGCCCCCCAGCCCGCGCAAGGACGCCGGGCCCCGCCGACAGCTGCGCCGGGGGAAGGGAAGGGCGCGTCCCGGGTACAAAGAGACACCCCCGGCCCTTACCGCTGTAGGCGGTGGCGGAGGTCGAGCGCCATTCTGCCTTCTCGGCTTTGTGCTTCTTGTGCTTCTTCCCCATGGCGGAGCCGCAGCCGGCCCCGCCGGAAGCGCTGGGGCGGCCGGACCCCCCCTCCGCCCGCCGCGGAGGAAGATCCGGGTGAGGGGCCGGCCCTGCCTCGCCCAGCGCGCCCTTTACAAACAGCGGCTGCCGCCGTGGGTGCCTGCTGCCTTAGGCTCGCCCGCGCCCGCCATCCCCGCCGCTCCCGAGGCCGTGCCTGCCTGAGGTGATTCCCTGTCCCCAGCGCTGAGGCGGGAGCAGCCGCCCGCCCGCTCGTACGCGCGACCGCGCTCGCGGCGTGTCCCGAGCCTGTCGTCGCCATCTCCTGAGGGAGGGAAGTGCCGATTCTGATCCTGGTCCCGATCATACCCGGTCTTTGTGGGGGCGGTGTGCGCCTGGAGGGGGCTCTTGGAAAGGGCCGTCCGTGCCGTGGGCGTGTAGTGGTCGCTGGAAGTCGCTTCTCTTTGGTATCGCTTTTCCCCTAGGAGCTGGAAAGATGGAAGACGCTGCTGGAGATTTGAAGCAAGCGCTCCCAAACGTGTGTGACAACGTTCAGATCCATGTGGAAGTTCACCAGAAGTCGAGCAGGTCTCTGATCAGAGCGTTGCTTGCTGCCATTTGTGCCTGTTTCCTCTCGGCCTCGTTCTGTGTGCCTCCAAGAGCCCGCAGGACCCAGCTCTGCCTTCTCTGTGTTCTCCCGGGAGTCTCCTCACCTGTGTCTCTTCCTAAGATTGAACAAGTACACTTCTCTCAGTTCCACCTTGTGGGTTGTGTCATCCAGTCTCATATTGAAGTTGTTGGCCACATTCTGGATTTGCCCCAGTTTGTCCTTGTGTGTTTTGTGTTAGTGCTCACAACTGCTCACAGTACTCCAGATGTGGTCTTACAAAGCCAGTGGATGGAAGCACTTGCTTTCCCTAACATCTGCAGTCTTGAATAACAGCCTTAAATAAGGTTTTCCTCATTTGTACCAGGGGCACACTTGACTTACTGCCAACTTGTCCACCAGTACCCATGGGCCCTTTTCTGCAAAACTGCATGTCATCCAGTTGGCCTCTGATCTGTTTTGTTATCTAGGCAGTGGGTGGAGAGCTAAGATTTCATGTTTACCTTTGCTGAATGTCAAAAGCTTCCAGTCAAACTGTATTGCCAACCTGCAGAGGTGCCTCTGAACAGCAGCCCTGCCCTCCAGAATACTGAAAGTTCTCCCTGCTTTGGTGATATCCATAAACTTTTTGCAGTCACTTTACATCCCATTGTCGAGGATGCAAAAACAGTGCTGGTCCCAATGCTAACACCACTACACTGGCTTTCCCCGCCCAAGTTACTGACAGCTCGGCTTAATCTTTGTAGTAATCCCAGCACTTTGAGCTGGTCAGTCCAGCCCTCTTTGTTCAATTATCCAGTTCTTATCTTACTACTTTGGATGTCTGAAGGATATGGGAGAGCATGTCCGAGGTGTTAGAAAAATCAAGGTGTAAAATATACACTGTGCTATTTTTGCCAGGCTTTACAGAGAACTGAGAATTTGCATTGGTTCTAGATGATTGAAATTGCAAAATTAAGTTAAATCTTCAAATGGTATTCCTTTTCCTGTAGTTTATCTCCTGGAATTCGCCCTATATTATGTCCCCATCCTGATGTTTCAGCTGTCCTGAAAGTATAATGGAGCTTCCAAGTTAAGCTTACCAAATTCAGTCTGTAGCTTGGCCCTGAGTCTTTCTGGGCTTCCTGCTGAAACACAGATTGCATAACTGCTTTCCATTCTTTAAATCTTCTAGCTGTCTCATTCATAACATTCCCCTGTTATGTTCTCAAGCAGAGCAAATGGTATTTGCATTATGTCTTTTAATGCACAAATTAAAAACTGCTATCAAGCTTGTTGCTTTTGCAGACAAACTGAATCTGACAGGTTTTTTTTCCTGTAGAATGTTGGAGGAGGATTGAGTGGGTTTGGAGTTCTTTTGTGTTGGTTGTTTTTTAGGATTGGGAGTTTGGTTGGTTGGTTGGGTTTTTTGGTGTGTGTGAGATGGAAGCTGTTTTCCATGAAAGCCTCATGTATGAAATAATGCTTTCCAACACTAATTCAAATTGCTTTATAAATGTCAATGCCATAATGTTTCTTTCTTGTTAGTGTGGCCAAGAAAGAAGATATTAGGACGAGTGTCTTAAAGCTGTTGAACAGACACAACATCGTGTTTGGTGATTACAAGTGGACGGAGTTTGATGACCCTTTCCTTAACAACAACGTGCAGTCTGTGGCAATTGTGGATACAGAGCTGAAACTGAAGGACAGACAGGTATTCCTGGTCAAGAATACCTGTGCACCTCTGTTTATGTGCCCTGAACTAGTTGTAGGCGGACTTGTGGTACCCTAAAGGCAGAAACCAGACAAGGTCTATAGGGTGATATAGTAGCTCTTCCTAGGCTGACTGGTATAACTAGGAAAAAGTGGCTAATTTTTTTTTACTGCTTATTAAGGTCTGAAACAGATAGTAGGCTTCAGAGATAAATGCCAGCTCAGAACTGTAACTTTCTTTTGTTCAGCTAGCTTTGAATGAGAAATATGACAGGTAACAAATCTTTTTATGTTAATTCTAGCCTATTGACCTGAGCACAAGCAGTCTTTCTCTTCATATTTTTCATCTGACTGAAGAAGGACCAACATCTGAAAACCTGGAAGAAGAGAATGAGGATATCACTGCAGCTCACCACTGGGTGCTACCAGCAGGTACTTGTGTGGCATTTCTGGGAGCTCTGGAGCAATAAAGAAAATATTGCAAAGGCTAAAAGTGTTTATAGTTACCTATTAAAGGTACTATTTGTATTTATTGTTTGTCTATAGAACAAATATGTTTGGACTTGTTTCTTTATGCAAGAAATATATTTGGACTTTTTCCTTTGTGGTTTTGACTGAACTGCTGCAGGTGATTCCAAACACATCCTTTATCTCTGTAATGCTTGTGGATGTGTGGAAATAACTGGTCTTGTGGTCTAAAACATATAGTCATAATCAGAAGCATGCAAGTTTTTAACACTGGTGGTTGCATTCCAAGTTTTATTTAACTTGAAGACCCACAAGAAACTTATCACTTTAAATATTCATTTTCAGAGCCCACTGCTGGCTTCCAGCCCCCATGACAGCTCTTATACATGAAACAGGCAAACAGAATAAAGACATTTAGTCCTTCTCTTCCGGAGAGGAAAGATCAGGCTTTCCTCTGTGATAGAGCCGGACCTGCCTGTTACTGTCTTGTGTTTGGAGAAATTGGATTCTCTGTCTGAAAGGAAAAGCACAGGTGTGAGCTTTAGCTCAGAGAGACAATTTTGAAATATTTTGAAACAATTTTGAAACATTTCCTACTCTTTCCATGTTGTGAAATGCCTAATTATCCTTTACATTAGTTTTCAGGAAGAATTAAATCTGATACACTGACAGACTGCCACAATTTTGTGGTTTATAGTTGTTCAGTCTTTTTTGCTTTTCTTTGATGAAAGTTAGAAGCCAACAACTAGGAATGATTGATACTCAAATGACAACTTCAGTTTTTTATGTGTTATTCAGCAACATGGTTTTTTTGGTCCTCTACATCTTGATGTTAAAAAAAAAAAAGTTGAATGATAAAATTTTCCTTAGAACCCTCCTCCTACCTGATAAAATTTTCCTTAGAACCCTCCTCCTACCACAAGTTTTCATTGCTCCCTTGGTGAAATGTAAGTTCATCCTCTACTGAGAGTGGAAGGAATGATATTTTTCTTTTCATGTTAAGAAATTAACATCAATTTCTCGTCACAGCTATTGAAGGACATAGAAGCTGGGAAACTGCTGAATTTGTCTGTTAGAAAGTGGTATTTGCATTTTGAGAAAAATAACTTTTTTTTCCCCCACAGATGCTTTACTTGCTTTCATAGATGTGTTCTTAATTCTTCATTTTATTTGCCATAATTTGAAAACTGTTTTGTGCTGCAATGATGAGTTACAGGTTTCCAGACTGATTTATCCTAAACAGGTATATAATATATTGCTTTTTCAGCTGAATTCCATGGCCTTTGGGAAAGTCTTATCTATGACACTGAAGTAAAATCAAATGTAAGTTGGAAATGAATGACAATTAAACTTGCTAGAGGAGAAGTAAGAGCTGAAATTAAGCCTTTTTGAAGTTTGCTGCATCCTATGGAGATATGGGAGCAGGCTGGGCAGAAGGGAATGGGAGTTTAACTTTGTTTCTGGCAGCAGCTAAACAGTTAATGGGCTTGGCAGTAATGTCAGCAAACACTGTTACTGTTCATGCAAATACTTATTCAGTGATTTGACCAAAGCCACTTGAATGCTGGCAAGATATTGGAAAGAAACAGAACACTTCCATGGGGTCATTTTCTAACTTGAAGATCCTGTGCATTCATCAGAGGTTATAACTGCCAGAGCTTGTAGAACAGTAGTAGTGTAATCTGAAATTTAGTAATTGTGATGCAAATAAAACACACAAATAATTCAATTTAGCTTCTAACTGAAATTCTTGGACACAAATAATTAATTCATTAGCTTATTTGTAATACCATAGATACAGTATTCTCACGTATGTCTTTATAACCAAATACAGAAAAGCAAATATTCCAGTGATTGTACTTCTTAATTTATAAGGTAAATATCAATTAATACATCCACATTTGTGTAATTTATGGAACAGCATTCAAAGTCACCTGTGAAATGACAAGACTGTTTAATTAGACTTGCTAGTCTACTGAATAACAGCAAGCTGATCACTGTTGAGTGTAAGTGTGTATGGGGAGAAAGAAATGGTTGCTTTTAATGGCTAAAATTTGAACTACTACTACTACTGTAAAATTGTGATAAATCTTCCTTCTTTAAACCATGAGAATGCCTAGGCATATTTGGGTTCTATGGGCTTTGAAATAGTTGTTGAATTTTAGTAGTGAAAATAGTGAATTTTCAAAACAGCACAGTGTCAATAGAATTTTGACAAATATGTGGATTAAGTTCAGTTGGTTTTACTGTTGTGTGATTGCTCCGTCTCATGCATGAGATGTTGCAGATGGGACAATACCGCTGTATTATCCCATCAACACATAGGGATCTAAAGC